AAGATTTTCATAGCTAACATAATATATAAGATAATTCTTATTCTTTTATATATACGCTGATCTCTCTGTTTGTTAGAAGCTTCTATCAAGCTTTCTAGTTTGTAAGGGGAAGGTGGGGACTGGGGACGGGTGCAAAGAGCATGAGCTCATTTTGATATTCTCAACACAATAAAAAGAAATATTCAGCAATCACTGCTGCTGATAATATCGTAGAAAAGTGAAACAACTGAATAAATAGACTTCAATAAGATATTTTTTTTTCACAGGGTTGTGGTCACACAGTTCAACATAATATAATAGATAATCTATGTTGCGTCATGTCTGTAGTAGAAGTATGATTAGACCAATACAATAAGGGCTGGCGAATATGTATTAAGAGCTTAATCACACACAGTTGATGAGAGAAGATTCTGAGTTGAATTATCTACTTCTTGGACTGTTGATGGCTGTTTGTAATGAGATGAATATGATTCTCCTTTGGCCTGATGAGCCTGACTAGGGTGAGTACCTTCAATGATACTCCGACGCTTAAGTCAGTATCAAAGTCTAGCTTATGTTGTATTTCTACTGAATTAGATTGTCGTACCTGAACATGTTCGGGTTTTTGACCACTATAGCCTTTTTTTAATAATTAATTACCAAATTGACCCTATTTATAAACTATTTCAAAAATTTAACCTCTCCAGAAAACATAACACCAATCTGCCCCTGTTTGACCGATGACCATGAAGCCTACCCGGGTACACCCCTACCTACCCGGGTAAATTTTAAAATTTTTTACCTACCCGGGTACACCCCTCCCTACCCGGGTATATTTCTTGAATCTGGAAAATGTTTGAATTATTTACCCGGGTAGGGAGGGGTGTACCCGGGTAAATAATCATAAACTGGTTGTGTGCGCCCATCCTCTTTGTGTGAACAGCAAATGAAAATCTCTAAATTGAAGGACTAACGCATGGAGAACAAAATCTGAAAACAGGTTATTGATGAAAGATATTCCACTGGATCATATGCCTGAGATTAGTGAAGCAAATAATCAAGGTTCTGCTCCAACAAAGGATGCTATTACATGTCACCAGTCAGACAATTCAAAAAAATGTTCAGAATTAGAGGTGAAGGAATTGGGCGTTGACAAGCTTGAGTTGTGGAAAACTGTAAAAGAGACAACTGAAGATGGCAAGAGGAAGATGTTGGAGAGGGTTGTCTCATATGCTCAGAAATTGGCCATTCTTAAAATGACTCTGCAAGGTTTGAAAAAGAAACCAGAAACAAAGAAGAAAAGCAAGAAGAGAAAAGCTTGAGTTATGATTATTTACCCGGGTACACCCCTCTTTACCCGGGTAAATAATTCAAACATTTTCCAGATTCAAGAAATATACCCGGGTAGGGAGGGGTGTACCCGGGTAGGTAAAAAATTTTAAAATTTACCCGGGTAGGTAGGGGTGTACCCGGGTAGGCTTCATGGTCAACGGTCAAACAGGGGCAGATTGGTGTTATGTTTTCTGGAGAGGTTAAATTTTTGAAATAGTTTATAAATAGGGTCAATTTGGTAATTAATTATTAAAAAAAGGCTATAGTGGTCAAAAAGCCGAACATGTTCCCTTTGTTTATATGGTGAATCTGATGCCGCCTTCGGTAGGCGGTATGTCTTTTGATTGACTGTTTATGGGCTGCAAGTTTAGCTGGTGTCTTTCTAGCCTTATCTCTATATGTTAAGCTATCTTAGTAGAGTGATGGCAAGTTAGAGCTGTCTTTTATGTATTGGTTCTATGACGCGGTGGCTCTTTATTCGTATTATTGATTACTTCCTTAACTCTGAAGTCATGATAAAAGCGGTTTAGACACGATGAAACTATTGCGCTTCCTGATTCTTTATGCGCGACGAAAATATCATGCACTGTTTGGACCCTATGTGTTTGGATCTTAATCTTTAGTTTTAGGCCTTGGTGAACCTATTATATTTTATCCACATCATATACCATTCCAATTTCCAAGGCAAGAATTGAACTAAAATCTTTCTCCGAAAAAAAAAATTTGAACTAAAATCTTTGAGTTGATTTTCAATCTTACAATCCAACCTTATTCACCAATTTTTAAAAATTAATATAATTAATCATACACACAACCATATAAGTCTTAAGTTTTCTTTATAACAAAAAAAAAAACACTTAAGAAAATCATCAAATCGAGGCTGAATATAACAGGATTGATGGAAAGGAAAATAAGGAGTAACAACCAATAAAAATAAAAGTGAATCGTGAAATTACAAGAATAATTTTATATTAAACACTTTTTCCATGTAATAGTTTTTTAAGCCTCAAGCGTAAATAATACAAAGACTCACCTTATCTTATACTAAAATTTAACTTTTATTAGGTCTGGTCACATTTCATCACACGAGATATCATGCATATCCAGATCGATGCTGAAAGTATTCATGGTTATTGGATGTAGTTGACTTAAATAAAAAGTAATAATGCTCAACGTCCACAATTTACTCTCAACTCCGTACCACATTTATTGAATGAGTTATTTATGTATTCAGTTTCATCATCATTACTATTATCACCATCAAGGTCAATGAGATCCCACAAATGTGAGATCATCGTCATTATCACGGCCACAAATTAAAGCATGCATAACATATTGCGATCAAACTTTATTCTCGATCTACTTTGCAGTGAAATCATAAACAATTATTTTGCAAACTAATTTGTTTGTGTGAGTGTGTGTGAGTGTTTCAAAGAAATTTTATTTTTTTTAATTAAAACATGAAAAAATTAAAAGTAATTAAATATTTTTTTTAAAAATATCTAAATTCCTAAAAAAACAATTTTAATATTTTCATCGTATAATAAAAAGTGTAACCTTGAAAAAAGTTATTAAAAATTATATTATAAAAGAGCTTTGACTCAAAATCTTATTATTAGAAAAATATAAAATCATCAATATAACCTCATCCAATAGTATCTATTAAGTTAAATTAGTTTTTTACATTATATCAAAAGCCTATGTGACCAAGTGTTCATGAATTAGATTCTCACAATTTGTCCACCGTTTAAGTTTAATAGACTTTCGTTTGAGGGAACATATTAGACATTCACTTAACAGCTTTGGTTCTTTACACTTATGTAAACATACCTTAAAATCATTTGCATATTTTTGTGCTTTTACCTTCCTGGTACGTACATTAAAAGTTGGAGTCTGTTCTTTTTTGCACAAGTAAGGTATATATAATGACTCAAAAAAGGGAGAGAAAATAGTGAGCAAGGTTTGGTTATTTCGGAAATCAAACCCGATCATCAATTGGTTTTAAAGTAACTTACAAACCACACGGTATTCAGTTAGTAACAAAGGAACTGAGTAAGTGAAAAGGAAAGAATCTCATTTCGATCCCATTTATCACCTTTGGGAGAAGTTCAAATATTTTCATCCATGGTCCGTCTGTACTCTGAATTTGTCGTATAACCGACTTAAAAAATCGAAGCTTATGGGGATACAAAGAGAAACCAACTCACCTCAAAGAGGTAATTATGTTTGATTAACTCAAAAAAAGAAAAAGTAACTTAGAAGCCATGTGTGAGTAAAAGTTCACCAGCAACAAACTCTAGTCTGATATATGCCAATGGATAACTAGTTTTTCATTGAGCTACAGCCATCGAGTTTATTTCCTAAAATATTTGCAACTATTCTTTAAGGGAGGGAAGTTAGCTGCATAGAGGATGATCACATGTAAACTCATGGAGCAATTGAACAATATACCAACAAAAGTTGGTACTCCAACACATCCTTACTAATTTTCTTTTATTTTCCCCTAATTTGAATGCATGTACATATTACATTCATATTTCTAAAGGTATACCCTTTATACAGATAGTGTATAAAAGAAAAAAAGATTTATATTACAGTTAGATTTGTAATGGTTAAAATGTTTTTGCAGTTAGAGTGGTGACGGATTAAGGAATCTGTCTTAACTAGGTACAAAATGAACCTTCATGTTGTCATTGTACCGTCAATATAAATATATTATTTGGGAGATTACGCCCTAAAATAACTGAAATGAAAGCCGCTAAGCATTTTACCTAGTTTGTAAGAGACTCTACATTTAAATTATATATTTCCGTGTCATTAACTATAAACAAGACATAACTTAGGTTAGTGCATGAAAAATAGAAATTTAATGGCAAATATGAATCTCCTCCAAATGAATTAAACATGTTTATATCTAAATTCGTGTGTATTTGTAAATAAGACATACCTTTCGACTTGATCAAAGAAATAGATTGATTAAGGTTAACTCAAATAATTGGCCTTAGCACCGTGCAAAACTAAGTTAATATGTATCAGTTCTACAAATACAAAGGTAAAGAAAGAGATTTACTGATTTACATTCTACCAAAAGAGAAAAAGAAAAAGAGATTTACTCAAACAGTGTACTTGTATCAAGAACTGAAAATTTAATAATCAATCAATGAGTCTTAACTCAAGTGGCACAATATATGTAGGGTTTTATAAGAGTTATGTCGTAGGAAAAGTGATTGTGTTATGTTATAAAGATTCATTATGCGTGCCAAAATTATTATTATTTTTTTGCTGCGGACCCCACAAAATGTTGTGTGTGTAGGAAATTTTTTGTGGTCATGTTAAATGATAGATGATAAACTCATATATGTATAAAATATCTTACGCAATGGCCCTAACATTTTTACCTCCCCTTCCCATTCGGGCAAGTCCGTATGGGATATGGCCTTCATTTTAACTTAAAAACCCAGCTACGAATATTGGGTTAGCAAGAGGACACTCTTTATTCGAGCATAAGATTACAAGGTATTTCAACTTCACCAATACCTTTTAAATATAGTCAGTATCAAAGACGATGATGAGCCATTTCCCATGTTTATCCTAATTCCTACATATAACACACCATAACAAAGTTAACACAAAATTGGGTTGCTAAGAAGATTAACAAAAGTTTCATTGCATTGACAATAGAAGGGCAGTGACAGTTACATTTCAACCAAACAAGAAAAAGAAAAAAGATAAAAAGGAATATAACATCATAAACAACCTATTCTTTTTCTATATATGTCAAGTAGAGTCAACTATTTGAAACCTAGACACACACTCAAACACTCACAAAAGGCCTAACATGAGCCAAAGTGCAGGGGGAATTTTGATATTCTCATAGCCTAATTAGACAGCATATTTTTCAAATTGCCCAAGCCTATTGTCAGCAAGCCTTGAATTATACGCAGCCTTCTTGTATTCCCACCATGTGAACTCTTTATACAAACTCTCCTCATCTTTTAACATGAGTGAGGGTACAGGCGCTATCTTTTCACTCAAGGGTGGTCCTCCAAAGTAGATCATTGACAACCTTGACTCTTCTGTGTCAGCCAAAACCCTATGCTTTACACTTTTAAACCTCCCATTGGTCATCACCTGCATCGGTTTCACACCACACCCACATTAGAACATTTCATAACAAAAAAGATAAAATAATTTAAAATACCACTTGGCACCCAAAAGAAAATTTTATGTCGGCATGTCTTTATCTTAACCAAAGGATAAGCAAGTCTTTGAATGACACGTCATCAAGTGAAAGAGTAAAACAGTTAATGTAAAATAAATACATGAAATCATAGGCAGACTGTACTTATTATATATTATTGATAATATATAGTGTAAAATATAAAATATAAAATATAAAATATAAAATATAAAGTTTTTTTTTTTTTCTCTCCAATACAATAGCAGCTGACATAATACGTTTCTATTAGTCCGATGTACTTACTTCCGTATTATACTAGATTTTTCGAGAAAGTAGAGGAAGAAGATTTGAGTATTGGAATGGTACCTGAAGAGAGTCACCAACATTGATGAAAAATGAAGTGTGATCAGGTGGGACTGAAACCCAAGTGCCATCAGGGAGACAGATTTGCAACCCTGATGTGCTGTTAGATCTTAAGACAGAAATTATCTGTGGGTCTGTGTGTTCCCCAAACCCAACCAAATTTCGTCCCTTCAATGCTTGTACCTCTGGGCATGGTGGGTAATGGTTAATTCTGAAACAAGAATCGCTTCTCTCATCCTTCACTAACTTGCTGAACACATTCCTTGCTCCAATCCCCAACCCATCAGCCATTGATTCCAACACCACATAGCACATCTTCTTCACTGCATCAATATAATCTTCCATAGCAGAACTGAAAAATAAAAATAAAAATGATAAGTAATAAAAGACAGAACAAAAAAGAAAAACAGGGGACTCTGTTTTTGAAAACTTTACCGGAAATTTTCTGGGTTTTCCCGGAAAATGGAAAGTGATTTGGGGGATATGACATCAGGGTTGGTTGTGAGGAGAAGGTATTCGAGCCAACCAACGTCACCGTTTGAGCCAATCCTCTTGCTTCCGTAGCCAAAAGGGTCAGGAGGACCTGCCTTGTCTTTTTCAGACTGAGGTTGTCTGAAAAACCTGAGGGCTTCGTTTTCCAAATTGGACATGAACTCTAATGGAACACCGTGGTTCACTACCTTAAAGAAACCGAAGTCTTTGCAGGCGTTGACTATGAGGGTCTTGGCCTCAGGGTCCGAGAGGTCAACCTCTGGAATTCCTGTGAACAAGGTGGTGGGCTTGCATGCATTCACAAAAAAGAACTTGTTTATTACTGGCTGAGACAGAACAACCATGGTTGTTGATGCTACCGTTAACAAAAAAGATGGGACAAATAAGAAGTTGAAGAAGAAGAAGAAGCGAGAGAGAGAGAGAGAAAGAGAGAGAGAAGGGAAGGTTGTAAATGGAAGAATGGGTGAGAATTGGTAATGCTAATGCATGAGATAGCAAAAGCAAGAGAGGGCGTTACGAACTATATAGATGAGCCATCTGGCTACTTAGCATTCGCATTTATAGTATCGGAGAGAAACAGAGGTACATGTAATTTTCACCTTTTTCTTTTTTTATTGGTGGATTTGGTTTTCATCTTCTTTTTAAATCAATATATGTATATGTTTGCTTTTAAAAAAGCAACTTCTAAGAATTGGGGGTTATACTTATATCTGTTCCCACTTCGCTTTTTCTAAGTAATAGATAACTCTCTGCCTTGTAATTCAATAGAATTTTTTTATGTGAGCAAGAAAATTTTTCTCACTCACTCTATATAATTGAATGTCTGTAATTGTGATGTAATTGTGAAATATTGTTGTTTTTTTGTATTTTAATCACATTTTTAATATTATAATTTATATGAGAAACAAATAATGGTATATAATAACGAGGATAAACTTCTTGTTCTGGGATACTTGAGAATGTTTCGTAATTCCACTTCATGCATGTTAATTAAGAAAAGTCATTGCACCCTTGTGTCACATAAGATTATGTTCTCACCATTCATATTTAAACATCTTAAGCCAATCGGTCTAATAACGAGAGGTTGGATACTTTATATTAAGTTATGTGTTCAATTTTCATTAATATATTCAAAAAATAATAATGAGTTTAATTATGGGAAATAATTGTCTCATGTTACAACAGAGACAAAGTAGTGGGGTTCACATTATTTTTTCTTTTTTGTTTTTTTTTTTACAAATGGTGGACTCTACTATTTTGTCTATGTTGCATGATAGTTATCGCATGCAATATGAGATAATTATCTTATGCAACATGAGATTAATAGATTCCTTTAACTATTTACTTATGATTTTATTTTATTATTTTAAATAATATATATATATGGATTTCATTATTATTAAAGCTTAAATGTCAAAATTTAAATAGAATAAATGTTATCATACATGACATCTATGATGCACCGACACTGACACGGGACACGCGACACGACACGATACGCCGACACATAAATTTCAAAAAATCTCATATTCTGACAAGTTGGGACACAATTTGATATTAAATAATATTTTTAATATATATAATATAATTTATATTTAATACATATAACAACCCATAATAAGTCATATAACTAATCAAATATTCAAATTTCATAACAAAAATATAAACAAAAATAATTTTTCATACTTTGTTAATTTTTCATGTAAATTTCATAACAGAAAAAAATTGATTTATAAATTATTATTTTTATTTTTAGTTAATAAAATAAAATTAAGAAGTAAAAAAAAAAAACGTGTCGGATGCGTGTCAGAACGTTACGCGTGTCGAAAAAAGTTGACTGCGTGTCAGAACGTTTACCGTGTGTCCCAAAATATTATTCGCGTGTCAGACGCATGTCGAAGCGTGTCCTTGTTCGACACGTATCCCACACACATATTTTGAAACAAAGAGCATGTCTGTGCTTTAGAGCATGACACTTCATGAGCATGCTTTAATTTATGTGTGATTAGGGTGTTAATAAATATTATCAAACAGAGAAATTAATGATAAAATATGTTTGTTCCTTTTGCAGATTTAATATAAGGGTCCTTTTCTTTTTATGTTTGTAGAAACTTATTATAACTATATATTTCTTAAAATACATAATTTTTTCTTTCTTCAAAAATTATTTGCTAACATGAAAAGAGAGAAAAAAAAATAGTTTTTCAATTATAACTATGTAGTTGCTGCAAAAAATAATAATTCCGACAACATAAGAAGTATACTCCCCTTAATATAAACATGAGATTAATAAACAGCTTTCATGATTAGAGTATTAGTACATATAAAATCTAAGATTTAAAATATGTATATAGAAAATATTTTTTGTTTGATTCATGAGTTTGTGATGACTACAAGAATCTTATACGTAATTGTGTGGACATATAATATGTAATAGACTTTAAATGAAGGGGTTTGTTTTTCTCATGTTGCATGAGAAAACAAATCTTTTCTACACACACCATAAAAATATGTGTCACTTATTTTTTTTTTTTAAAAATAGGTGAGTCCCACATTTGATGTATCTATGACATGAGATTTGAATTCTCCTATAACATAAGATTTATTTTTCCCTTAAATGAATAAATAAGAATGAGTTTCGTGTTTGTTATTTTAAATGACATAAGTTATGTCATTTTAAGATAGAGATAGACACAAGGAATAAAAATCATGGGAAAGAAAATGAGTGGTTTTTGTTAAATTTAAATTTTAAATAAAAAATATTTTTTTGTTTCTATGTCTCTCTTAAAATGACATAACTTTATGTCATTTAAAATGACAAATACTTTTTCCAACAAGAATATTATTAAATGTTCAGATATGAGGCTTCACCAAATTTTAATAACAATCGTGGTTATATATATGTGTGGGGTTTACATTTCTGCAGCTGTTGTATGTGCAACAATCAAATACTTGTCATATATATACTTGAAAGTATTAAATGCTTGGAATTATAACCATACAAAGGATGAAAGCATTAAATGTGGGGAATCATAACCATACACCTGTCGTTGCTGTACGTAAAGCGACTGCAAAAATAATTTTACCTATATATATATATATATATATGAAAAAATGAAAATAAAGTGACTGGATGTAAAATTCAGTCCAGTGCACTATGTTCTCCCGCGAGAACATAGTGCAATAAATCTTACAAAATTGTTCTCCCGGAAGAACATAATATAATTTTTACTATAACTGTGTTCTCGCGGGAGAACATAGTGCACTGAACCGAATTTTACATCCAGTCACTGTATACTCTCTAAATCTATATATATATTTACAAACTACTATGCTCTCCTGTTACACTATGTTCTCATGTTACACTATATTCTCTCGGAAGAACATAGTACAATTTGTAAAAGATTTTAAAAAAAATTTGTAAACGAATCCCTCCACGTACATATATAAACAGAGAGGATAAATCGGTGGCGGAGCCACAGGCTAGTTAGTTCCTTAACTCTAACTTGTTTTCAAATTTTTTAGAATTTGATATTGGTAGAGAATAAAATTTGGCAACTATACAAAACAGATAAAAGGATGGTAGGGGGTAGGGGCTAAAATTTTTGGGATGGACTTTTGGTACGAGCTAACATTTTTTGCTGGATCTTTTACGTTATTATTAATTTTATAATTAATTAAAATTTTCAATACAGTAACAACAGAATTTATCCTTAATAAATTTTAAAGTTTTATTATTTATTTTTTTAAATAATGAAGAGCATATAAAGTGAGAAGAGTGACACTGAGAAAAATAAATTTTGATCATTAGATATAATATACGATTGATTTGATCATCAGATAAAAAAATTTATTGTTTACGTTAATTTTTGAATTTTCGGACTTTTACTTATTAATTATTTAACTAATTCGATTTAAGTGTTAATGGACATATTTCTATTTTTTTTTCATTTTTAAGGCTTGAACTCAAAATCTTGACAATTTCGTTCTCTATTCCCTAAACCAAACGATAATAAAAGAAATAAAAGAGTGTGTAATATGTAAATATATAAATCAGGTTTAACTTATAGTTATGCCAATAATTTGAAGTCAGGAAAATTTTATTTTATCTAGACTATCGGGATAAATTACGCGAAGTATATATAAGTTGATTCGAACATTATTTTACCCTGATAAAAAAATTGAGAATCCTAAATACCTAACTATCTTATGTATCAGAATCTTATGCCTAAGCATCTAATTAATATATTTTATTGTATAAAGTGTTTGTGCACCAAACATTTTTTTAGTGATTCTTTTGAAAAAGGTCATAATTTAGTTTTAGGTGAATAAGAACTCAATATCAAAATGAAGATAACTTGTAAATAAATATTTCAACAAATACATGCATGCTTTTGAAATTCTAGCGAAAACAAAACAGTTATACGAGATGATGAGAATAATTTTATTATGAAGCTAATTAATTAGGAGGAACCGTATGTTAGGCCCATATATTTTGTTGTTTTATTTGTTTTGAAATTTTTGATGAAATTCTGTACACATTTTTGTTTTTGGATACATTTTGTACACATTTAATTACATAATAAAACATCTTGTTTATTCTTCGTTAGAGAAATATAAAATCATTAATATAACTTCATTTAAGAGCTTAGATTTTAGGTTGAATTGATTCTTTACATGATATCAGAACCGACGTGACTAAGTGATCATGAATTCGATTCTCAAAACTTCCATTCTATTAATAAAAATAATTAAATATTAAAGAATTTCTTAACACAAATAAACTAAATCTGATTATGTGATTGCTGTTGTTATGTTTGAAGAAAATACTGTTGAAAAAACTAAGCGTTTGGCTAAAAACTATAAAGGAAAGACAAAAATAATAATACATTTTTCTTGAAATAAAAAACTTGCCGAAACTGGAATTGTTGTAATAATTAGAAATTATCCTATTGGGGTGTCATAATCTAAGGCAGGAACGTAGCCACGTGGAGAAAAGAGGAAGCCTGAAGTATTTGCATCCTAAATGACTACCTATTTGCATCCTAATAACTGTACGTACGTATAACAATAGATTGCGATGTAAACATTCTTAAACTAAATTTTTATTTCATTACCCCATTATTTATCAAGTTCTCGATCTACTTCTTTTCTCTCTGTCCCTCTCTCTCGCTCTCTGTTTCTTTTAAATATTAATCTGAGTTTGTGGCCTGCAAAATACGTTTGACTGCATCTATATGGATGGTCAAAGACTCAAAACGGGAAAAAAAGGTAGGGTTGTTTCATATTTTTTATTCAGAAATTACTAATAATAAAGTTTTTATTCCATACATTTTTAAGTTAATAATATATCATCCTACTAAATTTTCCTACAATTTTCTACTTACTCAAAATAGAAAGTATTAAAAAAATTTATGAGTGCTCAACAATTAGCTTTTTAATAATTAAGAAATTATTTAAAAAAAAT